CAAATGTTCCTCCACTACAGAGAAAACTTCTCAGGAGATGGGAAGGTGGCAATGCCATAATAGACTTGAGAAGTTCTCAAGATGTACAGAAAAAATTTCCCTAGCAGGGTCCCAGCGCTAAAGCCAGTGCAATGATGAACAAGGTGAGGCCTGAGGCTGATAATGCTCTTATTCTCTCCCAATTATCAGGAGCATTTTAGATCCCCCTCTTTGAGGACCAGAATAGTGAGTAAAAGCACTGGCAGGGGAACTACCTTGTGCCCATCCCAGTAGTGATGGAGGGATAAGCACTTAGTCTGGTAGGCCTCAGTAAGCCTGTGGCTCCTGGGTAAGGAGCGTCTGGTTCAGTAATGGGATTATACACTTACATGTTGGTTTCTATTCGGAAGGCTCACAAGCTTTCCCAAACCTTAAATCTGTGGGATCGCTTAACCCCTGAAGAAATACCCATGAAGGGTGATCAGTGTGAGGCGCTTCATTTAGTGACAAGCCCCCATCTGCTTGATGTACACTCCCAGAGAGCCCTTCTTAAATGGGGGACAGGTTGGAGTAGGAACACGCCGTGTCTATTAGGAAGTGGGCCATGCAGGGACAAAAATATCCCATTTCCTCTGAAGCCCATCTCCGAGGTAGGGTGGGCCACACATTCTCAGAGAGGGCAGGGAAGTCCTCACTGTGGATAACGGTCTGCCCAGACTGAATTTGGAGCCACAGACCTGCTTACACATGGCCTGCTAGAAGTCTCACATGTGCATTTACTTCTTGTAGCTATGGTGATTAAAACTTGCAAAAGCAACACTTTTTGCACAATATTACATGTTACTTAATGTTTGGATACTGATATTTTCTCCAGTTGGATTTTCCTTAATTTAAGTCTACACATCAATCTGGAGAAACACATATTGCTTGTTTAGGATGCAAACTGAAATGATCTATAATGGGAAGACTTGGGGTATGCAAGGTGTTGTGTGTGCACTGGGAAATGACTCTAGTCCCACATAGACTCCAGGAGAGAAGCAGCAAAGCTCCCCAGGCCATCTGCTCCTTTCAGGGCACCCAGCGCGATGGTGAGAAGTGAGCAGCACACGTACTACACAGATCTGCTGCAGATGCTCACAAGCACTGCATGGAACTAATTCAGAGATGGCAAAACAATTCCAGCCTCTCTTTAGATGCTATTCTGCTCCTTCTCCACCCCACTGCATCAGAGACTCTGACAATGAAAGGCTGGAAGTTCCATCTGCACCCTCTGGTCACAGTCAAAACAGGTTTCCTGTGAAATCCAGAATCTGAAGGCTATAAAATGTGCCTCACTTACCACATCCCCACATGGTAGGGACCTCCGGTAATCCTGAAAATGGCAGCCTGAAAATGAGTATTTAATAGGAAGGCCTTTCTAAATTTTTCTTTAAGGCTCCCAACAACATTGATACCATACTGTACAGGATCAATCTTAATTACCATCCATGTGGAATTTTTTCTTGTGGCTTTTTGTAATGAAAAAAACATTAATGAGAAACTTTAAAGGCTTGTTAACAGTCTCCTTTCATCAATCAGAGGTGCTGTCAGGCCAGGCTCTGCTGTCAATTTGCACCTCACTGTCCAGCATCCACTTCCTACTTTCTCATCCACGCAGGGCCCCACCCCCACTACAGATCCTTGTCGGAGCTGCCCTTGGTGATGGAGGCCAGACGTTCTCCATCTGTCAGCAGCTGGAGCCACAGGGTCCTGAGGACTCTGGATGGCCGCCCTCGGTCACCTGCAGACAAGTCGGGACCTGCAGTTTCTCTAGGTTGGGGGCCCTGGCTTTTGAGTAATACCTTCCCCTTGTTTCAAGTACAGACAGACAGACAGACAGGCAGGCGCTGCTTGGCAGAGGCCTTCTGCAGAGTCCTATTTATATCTGTGTCTTTCAGACTGATAAACAAAGTGGATATGAACTTTAGCTTCTCTAATTCAAACTTCTAAACAAGAACCCATGAACCCAGATGGTTGGAAGGAGGCTAAATTTAACCTGCCACTTGAGGGCCACCAAGTGCCCTCTGCCCCACTGCCACACATCAGCAAGAAAACCCAAACAAGATAGGTGGAAATGCAAATTTGTCCCACAATAGGAAACTCAAAGGGTTTAGTTTCCCAACTTGACTTCTGGAAAATCTTCAGAGTAAAAGAAACTCTGTTCCCCACATTAGGCCAATTTGGCTATCATTCCAGAGTCCTCCTACATGCTATTTGAAACCCAAATAGCACTAGCAGAGGGAAATGAACAATTTTCATATGGAATGAGCTCTGATTTCCTGCCTATCCTGATAGTGGCGAGATCCAAGCTAACAACATTTGTCCATAGTTGTAGCTATGGATACTCACAAAGTGGGCAAGAAGGGAGACAGATCTGGGGTTACAACAGAACCTGTGAGAACTTTTACCTGGCTGTAGAAATCTCCCTGCCCCTTGAGACTGTTCCTAATCCCTCAGGGCTCCCACCAGTCACATACCATGGAGAGTTCTAAGCAATCTGCATGCAGGTTTTTCTCAGTCTGCACTTTTATAGGAAATACATTCTGGATAGCACTGGTATTCACGAGTGACCTAAGAAACAAAGGCAGATGGTGTCCATATGAACATACCTAGGTTTAACGTGCTTTGGCTCCTTGAGATGGGATTTGGGATGACCAGGCAGTGGTAGAGAGCCATGGAATAAAGATTTATACTAGAAGAAACTTGACTCAGTCAGATGATTTGGATCTGCAGCACATGATAGAACCAGTGAGGGTTGTTTAGGAAGTTGTCAGCTGTGCAGGAAGTGTCAGGATCTAAAATCCCAATTAAGTTACCTAGAAGGTGAGCCACTGCTTCCTTTGAAAAGCCTACTGCCTACAACTGTTGATTCTGGATTTGCAAAAATCAACTACCTCTGTAGTTCTGCAAACCCTCTCATAAAAGCCCTTCAGAGTTCCTGATTGGGCATCGGCCAATACCATTACAGCCACACTTGCACAGTTATAGTTTTTCTTCTTTGGGTGTAAAGACTTAAGCTCTCTCATTTCATCACCGCATGCCACAGAACACAGTGAAGTGGGTGAAGTTTAGTACCTCGTGTCCTCAGTGGGCAGACAGTGTGGGAGAAAAACACCCCTCCCTCGCAAAACTCGGCCTCCTGCCTGGCCAAAGGCATTTATTCCATTATAATAAGTGTGGTTCCCAAGAAAAATTATTGTCTCTGAGTCTTGCATTACCTTGGCCTCTGGAAGTGGCGGGAGCAGCGTGGCTGGTAGGAGCAGCAGTGGCTGTCACGCCGCACTGGTCTCCACGTCAGCATTCAAAGCACCACAGTGCTGGGCAGGGAGACCCGGAGGGTGAGGGGCACCTTGGGTCAAGGCCAAAGAACACAGCTTTCTTGTTCCAACATTTCTTTTATTTGGAAAATATTTTCTGTATTTCTTTATGCCTTTCCTTTTCCTCTTTACTTGCACAAGCTGCACTGCAACCTCAAGCCAAAGCAGCTCTAGGCGACCTGTGCTGTTGTTTCATGTTGGCCTCTGCAGAGCTTGTCCTCGGAGCAGTACACAGCCACGAAGGTGCGAGGCCTGCTACCACTGTCAATGGCTACCTCAGGGCATCTGTCGAACCTGTTATGACAGTGCCGAGGAATCCTTCAGAGATGAGAACAGAAGTGGCTTTTGTGCTGCTCAAAGGGCACAGCCCTAACAACCCCACATGCACTTCTGGGCTGCGTGAAGTTGCCAGTTCCCCTTGGTGAGTTTGGTGAGGCGGTGCTCAGGCCACTTGTGGCTGACCCAGGCCAGGACTCGGCCCTCAATGACTGCAGAGCCCCAGGTCTCCTCCAGAGACTGGCCTTGCCTGGAAACTTGGAGATCACACAGGAGACTCCTGTTGTGCAGGGCACCCAGGTGCTCCCAGCCCAGCAAGGCAGCCTGTGGACAATGCACGCACCATTGTGTGGGAGGCAGCCTGCAGGACTGTCTCGGAGTGGGTTGGGTTCCACCCTGCTGCCCGCGTTCAAACTCATCCTAAAGTAGAGCGAGGCTGGGTTCTCCCACAGCACACTGCAGTCACAGTGCCCTCTATTGGAAGGTGTGCACATAGAACACACACGCAGGCAGCTGCAGGGCCTGGAGTTGTGCCTTTGAGAACTAGAACACTCTTCTGTTGAGGAAGAAGAAAAAGGCAGCAGGCAGTGACTCCTGGTGACTCTGGGGTGCCAGGTAGACATGCGCATAGCATAACCCTTCAACAGCCCCTGACGCAGGGGCATCCTGGCCCTCCTCATGCATCTTCCTGGCATATCATACAGAGATGGCCCCTCTGCTCTAATAGTAAGATTTAAGAAAATCAGCTAAAACACTCCACTGAGGCCAATGGGAGTGTGTTAGTGGTCACAAACCATGGTGTGGCAGCCAGGTCACTGTTCTGAGAAACCTGATGTCTCTATGACCCGTCATCTGTGTGAAACTCACCTTGCCTCATAACAATTGAGAATGACCAAGTGCAGAAGACAAGTGGGTACTGGTCCCATCATTTTATGCTCAAGGAAACACTTCCAGAAGTAGTGTGTAAGACAAGGAAACAGTGAAGTGTAAACTGGGGAGAAAGGCCTGCAGCTTGTTTTCTAAGGATAGCACTCCATACCAGGCACATCCAAACCACGAGGATGTATTTCCATCCAGTGACCTGTGACCTGTGCAAACCATGTGAGCTTCCCTGGTGTGATTCACACAGGCACAGAGAAGCTGTAGAAGCTACAGCTTTCTGTAGCACAGTTGGGTGCAGTTTATTTTCTCCATAAATCATGTGCTCTCTTTTATTCATCTCTACTCAAAGCTGTAAGTTTTTCCTCCATTTTTTGGACATAGTTAACTTTAAAGCTAAATGGCCAGCATAGTCATAAAGTGTTGGATTGCATCACATGGCAGAATTGTAAACAGGCTTCAGTGCTGTTGGAGGCATGAGCTGACCTACTACTCTGTGATCTTGCTCTTCCCGGCCAGCTCTAGGGTCTGAATGGGTCCCTGTTCCTCACGAGTGGCTTGTCTTCCCTGCTTCTCAGAGCATCCTAAGCCAAAGACAACGAGAGGCTAGGATCTGGGGTGAGAGCTAAGTACCTAGAAAGGTGACAATTCAGCCAAACCCATGTCTCAAGAGCTGTCTTTCCAAATCTTTCTGGAAATGGTTATTTTCTATCTAGTTGATCTGATTGTATGGGGATACATTTGCCTCAGCTGTTCTAGCAGCTAGTACAGAGTACCTGGCTTGTCCACTTTCCTTCAGTTAGATTTGAGCATGGAGTATTCAGGCTGAGTGTGAGTCGTCATTCAGCAGGACAAATAGCCAGGAAGGAAGGAAGGAAGGAAGGGCCACTTGGGGACCCTGCTGGGGTGGGGTCAACTGTTCAGTGTGGACAGTCTAGGGTAGCCAGCTGGGTGCCAGGTGCTTCCCCCTTTCCAGGCAGGGCCCCTAAGGTTTTCCAGGCTTTCCCCACTCTCCCCATTTTAATGGACATTAAAAATGGAACAATAACCATTTTAGAGAAGGGAACCAATGACACACACAATGGCTGGTCATCTGAATGCATTCTGCTGTAAAATGTAGAAACAAGAAAGGGCAGCCATGCTATGTCCCTCAGGACACATCTGGCTCTTTTAATATAGTGGTGCCACCACACATCCTGCCTCCAATGTGGCATTACATTTATGTGTCACTCAAACGTTTACTTCGAATACAAATACTCAATTTTAGACAATAAGCTGAGAGCTAGTGGTTCCGGCCAGACCTTACTCCCGGCAGGCTGGCTTCCCTACTTGATTGCCTTCGTGGGCCAGAAGCCACTCCTTCACACCCTTTCCTCCAGAGTAGTTGCCCATGGCTCCGTCACTGCAGATCACTCTGTGGCAGGGGATGAGGATGGGAACCTGAAAAACAAGGGCCACCACTGTCAATCTGGCTATGGGCTGGCAAGGTCTTTGGGAATCAAGAGCAAGGCCCCAAGTAAAACTGGTCTAGCACTTCTCAGGCAGGGCTCATGACAGACAGGCTGCTGGCACTGGGCATTGGTGCCAGAGGTATCAACATCCCCATCAGTACCCCCACAGAAGCCTTGAGCTGGGAGTCCTAAATAGGATGTAGGGCACACGCCCTGTGGTGTGGGAGGTGGGGGCCTCTTTCAGAAAATCCTTTTATACCAACTTTTGGGAGTGGACAACTTACCTTCATCTGATGAGTAATTTATTATACATATCATCAGAAGTTAAAATTAAATTTCTGAGATCAGGGTGGGATGTGACCTTTTCAGACAGTCCTTGGCTGTGACAGGAGGCCTTAGGGATGATGGTGCTTGGTTAGCCAAGTGCAGCTACATGCCTAATGCCATCTATACTCTGGTGTTACAGTTTTGCTGGAACACAGCCATGTTCTTGGTACATAATTTATATGGCTGCTTTGTCAAACCTCGAAACACTTACCCCCAGTCCATCACAGGAACAGCTGGCCAAAGCCTGCCTACTTGGCACTGGTACTGGGATATCTTCCTTTTCCCTCATCTTTGGGAAATTTTAGAGGAGTTTTGCACGTTTCCAGCTTCCATCCTTCCCCTCAGTCTCCCACAGCCAGTCCATACTGGGTCAGGGCTGGTCAGCTTGGATCAACCAATCCCAGAATCACCCCCAGACCAAGGCCCTCACCCAGAGTGCTGTGGATTCCCCACTCAGATAGTCTGGGGCTCTCTCCTCCAAAAAGCTGCCCTCTAGCTTTTAATCTTGAGAGAGAGAGAGAGAGAGAGACAGACAGACAGACAGACAGAATAAATGAATGTCCATAGTCTGTGAAGGCTGGGAGCAGTGGCTCTGGCCCTTCTTCTGTTTCCATGTGGAGGGACCCTGCTGGCTTCAACTGCTATCACTCACAGCGGAAGAGGGATGAGAACTCAGGAAGCGCAGCGCCTCATGGGTTCTGAGATGACCTGCTTGCCTGCTGGAACAAGGTATTCTGATTACTCCTGAGAGGGCTGGTGCATTTCTTGGGTGGGAGGTCTGAGCCCAGGCAGCAAGGCTAGCGGAAGTCTGATTCCCATGGGAATTACTGGAAGACACCATAGCCATGCCATTGTTCCAGTTTTATATTTATCCTAATAAAGTGAACATCTAGGCATCCCCTATGCATTTCTTGATTGGCTTAGGGCACAGGTAGAAAAAAGCAGGGATGGGATTAATGTTCCCCTGAAGGCCACAGTGAGTGGTGTCACCTCTGGTTGTCCACTTGTCTTCCAAGGTGGCACTGGAAACAGTTCAGAGCATGCTCAGCATGCCAGGGATGGCCACACTTGGATCACCAAGGGTAACATCCCATGTACACACTGCAAGCTCAGCAGCCATTTTTGCCTAAGGATCCCAACAAGTAGTTCCTAAGAAGAGTGGTTCTGGATGCATCCCCCAGGACAGCCATGTGGTGGGAGCTCAGCAAGGCTCTGCATCCCTAAGGAAAAGATTTGCCTGAGAGTCCCTGGGGAAGTAGACTTCAGCCGTATATCACTCAGTGACTGGGAAGAAGGAACCCAGGTCCTCAGCCACCAAAGCCCTGGGACATATGCGGTGCCATGTCTCAGCATTGAGAAAAGTGTAATGCTAGCTGCTCCATGAAGAAGGTAAACTGCCACCGAGTGCAACTATAGCAATGGGTGCCAGGTCCAGAGAGGTGAGGAGGATTCAGGCTCACTGCCATAGGCAAGGCAGGCACACAGCAAGTGCCCAGGCCCAGCCTATTCACTCACACGGCTACCCTGTTCCAGATGCCTGCCTGACAAGAAACATAGACATTCCCACTGGACTCCAAGGGTGAAGATCCCCCGGATTGTTGCTGGATACTATCCTGACTCCCAGCTTTCTTTCTCCCTCTCACTTGGCAGTTCAGAGAGATCTCTGCCTCCTATGCACTCTCTGTCTTTATCCATCCCTCAAGGAAGCAAACTGAACTCAGTGACCAGTTACTAGTCAGCTAAGTTTCTAAGGGATGCTGCATCTGAAATTGCTGAGCTCTGTATCTGGGAACCCTCTGCTTCCCAGGGTGTTGCTTCCTACCTTACATGACCGAAGCCCTCACTGTAGGCATCCTTGTGGTCATCACTGTGCCCTCACCAATCAGACTGCACCAGCCAAGCATTCCCCTTTGTAAGGCTCAGCTATATATGTCCCAGGGGAGGAGGGTCATCCCAGCCACCCAAGGTCACATGATATTTTGACAGCAGCTGAATCCATCCACTGCCTTCTTGACAGCTCAATGTGTGCACTGCCTTTTTTTTGAAGTGAGTCTGATGTGGTGGTGGTGGGACTTTGTGGGCTGGTGACCCATGTTGGCAGGTAACAGGACTTGGGTGGTAGGGATCTGGCTTCTCTCACCCTACAAAGCTCATCCTGGTTTCACTACAAGTTTGGTGATTACTATGGTGACGTGCACAGATGTAGTCTAAGAGTGTCCCAGGGACCAATCAGCACGTTATTGGGGAGGGAAAGGAGACTGACTGTTTATGTGAAGCTGAACAGGTTAAAAAGTGGACAGCATGCTATGGAACTCAGCATCTATCCCAAACTCCCAATCTCCCAAGGAGAAATAGAAAACATTAAGAATGGAGTATTTTCTCCGGTGGGTGGCATTTTGTTCTTGTTACTGCAGACTGAACTCGGAGTCTTTGTGTTAAACTGTGACCGCAGTCCTTTTCTTTTCAGACAGGGCTGTGCTAAGTCACTAAGTTGCCCAAATTCGTTGGGCTTGAACTTGTGCTTCTCTTGCCTCCGTTTTCCAGAGTGCTGAGATTATATGTCTGACTGGTGGCTTTTGTTAAACCCAACAGTCATGTTAGCAATTTCTGTTGAGGACAGTATTAGACAGTACCTAATTTTCAGTTTTGATTAAGAGGTAGTCATTTAACCTAATCTAGCTTACAAACACTTAGGCACAATTTCTATTTTCTAGCAGAGTTCACAACCGAGCTTTGATTTTTCTGCCTTCCCTCTTAACACTATGAAATTATAAAAAGGAGTAATAAAAACCTCTCTCTGTCTCTCCCTTCTTTCTGTATATCAATTACAGAGATTGGACTGATGGCAAATAATGACAGTGACTGTGACAGCTTTGGCCAGTCTTCATCTCATGTCTGCAGAGATGGGAACAGGTCACTTACTAATATAGTTTTACCATGAAACAGGACCCACTGCTTCTGCTTCAGTTTTGGTGGTAGGTTTCTGACTATTAGAACAATGAAACCCCTAAAATTTATTGGGGCCCTAAGGACATTTTCAAAGGATCCTTACCCTCTACGCCCTCTTCTTTAAAGCCTGTGCTGCATAAAATGTAATTTTTATCAATAACCAAGATGCTCATAATATCACAGCTGCATTGAAATCTTCATGCTGTGGAAATCTAATTCATCCAATACACGAATCCATCACTTACGCAGACCCTCTCTCAAATGCTATAAAACTTCCAAACCCATAGATTTGTCTCCAACAAAAATAACATGAAGGGGCCTTTCAATCAATAATGGAATCCCTCTGATTCTGGAACTGGCTGAATATTTTTTCCAACTTCGCCTTTGTTCTTCTGGGTAGAGCCCACAAGGGAAAAAGCTTGTTTTCACTTGCAACCTCATCAATACCTAAATCCTGGTGAACAAGTGACACCGAGAAGTTGTAATCAATAGCTCCCTGTGCGTTTTTTTTCTTCTGGTCAAATGGTTCAGCTCCACTGACAACCCTGACACTTAGAACATGATGCTAAATCTTTATCAACAGCCATCTGGGTGACTGGCAGAACAAGACTGGGGGGGTCATCAACGCTCAGGGCAATCTGAGAATAAACTAACTCCTCAGGAATGTGTTTGTTTAGAAAAAGGTGGGAAACTCTCCATGCATGCATTGATTGACTCTGAAATGCATTTAGCAAAGTCTGTCTGAGGATGAAGGAGAAAGGAGCTTTGTGGGGTAGGGGTTTTGAGGAGTCTTCAACTCGATACACTAGAACACTGACCATCCTTTCCTTCTGGGTAGGGCACAACCTTCCAGAAGGCTGCTTGATCGCCTGATGGGGCTGGTGAGTGCTGCTTAGAAAACTTGGAAGAATACAATTTCTAGGATGTAGAGACTCCCACACCACAAAACCCATTCCGTACTCTGGGAAAGAGGGGGGCAAAAATATACTCACAACCAGTGCTATGACGGGAACAGCATATGGTCATATTCTTGTGGCACCTAAGGAGCTAGTGCAGCATGGTGTTTATGGTATTTCTAGCATTCTGAACCCATTTTTTTCACCCTTGCTCTCTTAAATGCACAACTGTTCTGCTCAGCCTGAATGTAAGAGGTGTTTTCTGCTAGCCCCTCTCAACTTGCCACCACTGGAGCTGGGTGATGCTTACAGTTCTCCAGCTGGGTGGAGACACCCACCAAAGGCAGGGATACCAGGCGCAGTCCATTGTGAGTCAGGACCCTTTTCTTCCTCAAGCCCTTGGGTCGGTCACCTTCTGACTCTCCTAGCCCAAAGTTGGGGATCCTGGTGGGGGACTCATCATCCTGAGCTACTGTATAATGTGCAGCAGCAAGTTATTTAGGGAATATTTGGGCACGTCTTGTGCGCATATATAGCAGCTCTGGGTACCACAACAACCTTCTGCTCAAGCTCATGGTCCCTGCATGAGTCAAAGTCTACAGAAAGGCCACAGAAGAAACATAGCAGCACCCAGGTAAGGATGCTGAGAGGGAGACAGCTTGCCTGTGGAACCTTCCTTCCAATTCTGTGGTCACCTCTATTCTGGGATGTCCATAGGTACATATTAGGCATTATGAGTTTTAAATTCTGTAATTCTTTTTTCCAAATTTAGATGACTGAGGCTGTATCTGAACAGAGACATTCATAGAGATTAACAGCAGAAGAAAGAATCACCTTGGTGTGCAGAACAATACATTTTCCTCAATATTGCCATGAGTAGGTCACTAACTAGTGATGGCATTTCCACAGCAGAGCAAGTAGAAACTTCTGGTATTGCAAAAGGCAGGTGGAGGTGTTTACCAACTTGTGCATGTCAGTCATCTGAGCATGTTCTACCGCTGAAGTAGCAAGCTGCACATATGGAGGAAGCAAGTGGTACTGGTGCCCATGAATGGGGGCAGCTCCCATCTCCACGTGCACAAACAGGGAGTCATGGACAAAGTAAAACGGCTCCATTCCCATTTTAATTGCCTGACCATATAAAATTGTGTATGTGCTCTGCAGCCTGCTGCAGGAATGACCAGAGGAACATATGACCACCTTCTCTGCCTTTACCTCTGGAGACTCCAACCTCAGTGAAGAGAAAGACCAACTCCACCCTAGGGGCATGAAGAGGAGAAGCACTGCCTGAAACAGTAGCTGCGATGATATAGAAGGAGGGTACACAGAATGTTGGCTGCCAATGTTCTTGTGGGGCATTAAACAGAGCCGCAGCATGATGACATTTGGGCTGCCTCTTCATCTATAACAAAGCCAAATGCGACAAAGTTGAACAGGGACCTGGAAGAGGATGGTGGCTTCCCAAAGGGAAGACAGAGATCAAACTTTGGTGGGAGACATCAAAAACCATCTTCAGAAATTGGATATGGAAACATTCCACAGGCACTGTAAAAATTCATCGAAAGCATCTTTGTGAACACCCTGCAATTAATATACAACAGGTGCAAAAGGAAACACTGAGCGCCCCTGGATACCGTCACCCAAACCCAGGACAAGAGCTAGGAGTGAGTAGAGTGTGTGGGCCATGCTGCATCTGGCTGCAGACAATCTGGTGTATTTCAACAAGGCAGACAACCTCCCCCTGAGGAGGGTGTACAGTGAGACAATACGATCCACCACAAACCCACAGGAGTTGCTTCTTCAAGAATAACAATGCAGTCTTGTGCAAAAGGCTACGTAATTGCCATCTCCTAGAAACCAGAGGGCTCTGCCCTCGGGCTGCTGCAGTGCGTGGCAGGAGCAGCCGGCTGTGGTGAGAAAACGCCTCTCCCTTGTGAGCAGGGATGAAAATAGTTTTAAAAATATACAGCAAAGCCACAGCAATTTTTTAAAAAAGTGGGCTCTATCTGATTTAGTAATTTCCCATCCCATGATACAATGATCACATTTGCTCTCCCTGATAAGATGGCATTCTTCTATCATATTACAGACTCGCATAGCTTTAGGGAGAAACCATTACTAACTTGATAGCACACCCTCACCAGGCATGGTGGGGCTGATGAGCAGGAGCATTCTCAGGGTGGTGCAGGATGTCCCTGTGGGTTGTGTGGCTGCCGTGCCTGCTCACCTACAGCATCCATAGCCACATGCTGCAGGTGACATCCTGCTCACACGTGATGGTGTGGGCCACAACTGAAGAGCCAAGGTACCTACTATGCTCGTGCCACTGCTGGCCACACAGCCCCTAATCCCCCTGTGGCTTGCCCTATCCCATAACCATAGTCAGGCCTTTCTGTGCATGTTCAGTAAGATCTGATTACAGACTCTTGGAGGGACAAAGATGCCTAAGAGGGGTTATCCTGGTGAGATGAACCACGGATAGAGCATGTTGTCCATGTCGCAGGGTCTTGAACCTCCTGTGCTCATGGCCTTGACACCCAGGAAACCCACGGCCTCAAAGACAATGCAGCCCCCAGAGAGACGAGGTTGCACCATTTTAGGTACAGCCTCCTAGAAGGAGGTAGGTGGGCTCTTAATCTGTTGTGACCTCTACTGTACTCATGGCATTGGGAAGTGCTGCCCACACAAAAGGCACCCAACATTCTTGACTGTGAAGTGAGTGACTGAATGAGTGGACAAATGAATGGGACCTCCTTCCTGTCTACTTCTCTGGGCTCCACCCTTTTTCACGCTCCTTGCCATGATCAGGGGTCAAGTAGCTGGGAAACAATGGGCTCTATCCCAGCTGTCTCCTTCCTCTCCACCCCCAGAAGCACCGGTTTTCTCTGAAACATATTTAATCAAATGACAATTCACCCCCAAGTGCCCACTTGACCTTGGCCAGCCTGACACCCATGTCTCTGGAACTTACAGGATTGCTTCTCATAGCTCCTCCCACTGCGCGAGCTGCTTTGGGGTTGCCTGCCAGGGCTGCTAATTGCTGGTAAGAAATTGTTTCTCCGAATTTCACAACATTCAGCAGCTTCCATAACACCTGTCTGGTGAATGAATCTGAAAGGAAGAATACAGAATGATGTTATTTGGACAAATGGCTCCAACAGCTCTGATATAAATAGCTGCCAGTCCCAGAGCAGAAAATGCAACGACACAAATAGAGGTGTTACATTCAATTAAAACACAGCCTCCACACAGTGCCCTGCCGCTGTGTCACAAGCAAGGAGAAGTAGGTGGGAGGCAGGCACAAAGCAGCCAGGCCCCTCAGAAGTCTTGCACGTCTCTGCTTTCTTATCTGTAAATTCTTTCCCATCTTTCCATATTCCATGTGATGCTTTTCTGGAAGGTGGGTACATATGTATTCATGAACAGCTCAGTTAATAAGCAGAGAGGTTCCTGCCTGCTCACCTATTTGGAAGCTTTTTGGACTGCTGGTTAATTTCCATCTTCAGCTGGGACGCAGATGGCAAAAGTAGCCAGGGACAGCATTGAAGTATTATGCTAGCCACACACATCTAGCAGTGGGCAGGAGAGCTCTCAGCTACTGTTCTGAATGCCAGACACCCTGGTATGTGGGCGGGTGATGACCTTGGTTACTTGGTTACAGTTAACGAATAGGGCTACGCAAAGAAAATAACTGTTTCCCATTTTAATTGGTCGCATCAAATCGCACGCGCTCTGCTTCCTGCTACCAGAATGACCAGGGGACCATGTGGCCAGTCCCTCCCTCTTCCTCTGGGGTTTAGAAATGTTTCCTGGGTGTGAAGCTTGCAGGGCAGAAACCCAGGCACACGAAGGAGGCCAGTCTGAATCCGATACCTTTTGTCTTTCCAGAGGAGACACATCCTCCATCCCAGTGGCTCAAAACACTACGGGGACCAGAGTTTCTCAATGGTGACAGCAAAGGGGAGGACTCTGTGGACAGGAATGATGTTTGGGAGTGTGTCCGGGAGAGCACTCATTACACTCGGTGCCAAGCTGGCAAAGTGTGATTTTGTTCTTGAGGGGAACACACCCTTACATGCATGTTAAATAATAAAAATCACTTCTTAACTGAAGGGTACGATAATCACTTCACTGGGAAAAAAATCTGTTTAGTCTTTATTATAACATTAAGCAAATTAAACATCAGCATAATCCAGGTGATACTAGAAAAGGGTCATCAAAGAAATTAACTTTGTTGTTCATTAATTTACATGGATTAGTAGAGGGCAAAAAGATAGCAAATGTGCTCTAGTTTTTTGTGATATAATTTCAAACTGTACACCATTTGTGGCAGGAGGGTGACTTTGGGGTTAATCAGACTGATTTGTCCTTTTAATTGCTTTCTATTCAAAGAAAATTCATTAGATAATGTTCTCTTCAAAATTCATGAATCAATTTAACTGAAGAAACCGCATTAACAGCTTTGGGTTCATTAGCACATGCAGTTGTGAGAGGCTGATTGCTGGGAGGGTTTCCTTAGGCAAACAGACTCTGTTTACTGTCTTTCTTCGGAAAGGGGCTTGAAATCACACTGTTAAACATTATTATTGTTACTGTTGTCGTTATGCCTAACTTAAAAAAAGAAAAGGGAAGGCGGAGAGAAAGGTAACCTGGTGTCACTTATGGAAAGGGATTTGGGGGACACTGCGTTGGGAAAAAAACAGTAGAAGCAGCCCTAGATCTTGCAAGAAGTGAAGGCCGATCCCTGCCCTGCTGGGAGAGCACAGCGTGGTAGCCTCTCTTCTGTTCTTTGAACCAGGGAGAGATGTGGCCACAGTGTTCTAGGAGAACCACCTGGAACTTCAGTAAATCCGTTGGAATAAAACAAGGTGGATAACCCAGCTGGAACAGAGAGTGGTTTGGAGAGATAGCGGCACTACCTTCCAGTGCCATTCACCATGTGTCGTGTTGGCCTTGAGCGCTGCTCTGACGGATGACTGCCAAGTTAGGGAGCACCTTTGTCTTCAGTTGCAAGTATTACATAGTGGAAGATTATATGTCTGTATATGAACCAGAGTTTTCCAAACATGTTCAGCTTCACTCTTTTGTCACAGAAAACTTTCTTAAATGGTATGCACCAAGCAATATATCGGGTGGTACAGCTCAAAAGATGTGATATTTCATAATCAAGCACATTATTTTTATAAATACACGCAAAAACTCCATTTCATCCTGTAGGAAACAAATGCTTTAGTTAAAGTAGTGCTCAAAGATGGTGCCTTTGACCCCAATCTGTCCACAATCAGATGGCTGTACTGTCCCTATTTGCCGCAATTTCTAGTAAATGTCTTTCTAAAATGTAGGAAAATTTGCCAGTAAAAACCAAAACATGTTAATGTGGAAAATACAATTTCTGGAGGTTGAAATCATCACTTAAATCCACAGTGGCCAGCTCAGTACTTTGGGTGGTCCAAAGGGAAACTATTAACACACTGTCCTTGTCTAGCATGGGTGTCCCTAAGAGTGGGCCCACAACCCTGTGCTGTGGGAGAGGCCTCTGCACTCCTCATTCTGGTACTCCTTTCCTTCATGGCTTTTCTCCTAGTTTCTTCCTAGAGATACCCTTTCTCAAGTCTGTTCGAGGGGCCCCAGTACCCTGACTGCTGGCGTGGCTGGGGTCAAAATAAGCTCTGTTGGAGGCTGATCTGTGTCTCAGAGTTTACTTGTCTGAAGGCTGTGGCTGTTTTTAATTTTAGCTTGGCCAGCTACTTTAACACATGCACTATAACCACCTAACTGAAAAAGACTTCTAAATCCTCTCTCTACCTAGATGGTATGTCATCCGTCAGGAGGCAGGATGCCGTGTCCTAACACAGGCCTGAGGGTAAGCTGTGCTGAGTAATGGACAGCAGGTTCTCATGCATGTGACAGGAGGAGGTGAGCAGGGACCTGAGGAGGCAGGTGATCTTCACTTGTGTACCTGGATGACCCAGACTGGCTCTGAAAAGGCAGATGGCACATGTTAGGGGCACCGCAGGAGGAATCAGTCAGGGAGCAGCCTCACTCTGTCCTGCTGATCTCAGGTGCGTCGCTTGCTTGTCCTGGCTGCTAGGAACATCATCACAAGAGCTCCCTCGGCAACATGTCCTGTGTCCCCAGTGCACATGGACAGTCATGGAGCATAATGTCAGGGGCAGGGCTGGACTGGAAGCCAGCTCCCTCTCACACCAGCGCTCAGACTCAGTCACAGCACATGCATTTCCAAGCGCTGTCAAAGAGTCTTCTTTCTTTCAACCACCACAGTCCCCTTGGAGAGGGGTGCAGCTTCCCAAGGAGGGGCTAGCCTTCAGCAGTCCGATCCCAGGGCTCTGCCTTGGCCAAGGTGCAGCGAGCGGGACACACTCAGGCCAATAGCCCAGTGGCTGTGGACTTGGTTGGCCATAGAGTGCAATGCTTCCATTCCTGCAGACTCTCCCCATGATACCTACAGGGGTCTGGTAGGGGCTCTCCTGGACCTGTTAACGATGGCACAAGTCACAACTATTTGACTTCATGCTGCTTAACCATCAAGAGCAGCCAGAATCAACTTTCAAGAAAAAGCCGAAACAGTGTGATGGAGGTAAGCAGAGGTTCTGGTTGAGGTCAGTGGATGCTATACTTGGTCCCTTCTACAGAACCTCTTCACAAAGTCTGGCAGAATGTAGACAGCAGTTCTTGTGAGAGCTGTGAAAAGTTAACAAGTGGGCAGACTGGGGAAAAGGATACTGGAATGAAACACCACCAAAATGACGAAATGGTTTACTGCTTTTCCTGCTATCCCCAGCATGGATTTATCGTAGGCTGAGCCCTGGCAGGCCTCTAACATTTGGTGGAAGAAAGGATACCTCTGGTGTTCAGAGAGCATAGGAAACACTCATTCTGTGTGTGCCTCTCTGGTATCTGGGACCACTTCAGCAATCCTGTAGTGCTGGTGGAGGAATGTGGTGGCTGTAGGTGCCTACACCCCAGCAGAAGAGATGGGCCTTTTCTGATGGGAGCAGGTGGGGTCCCAGAAGCGTTTTTCTGCTCTTCAGGCCCTGGTTCTGAGCTCAGTTCCGGATCTGAGCTTAGTTGCTGGAAGTGAGCATTAGAGTTCTAGTTTTGTATTTAGGAGATTGAAAAGGGAGTCCTAAGAACTGGAAAGTACCAGGTAGATGGCAAAGAAAGAACAGTTTTTTTCCACACCAAAAAGTTATTTATACATTCCTAGATTCATCTGTCCAGGTGAGCCGTCCGCCTACCTAGCTGTACATATGTGGTCCTGACCCTAAATCAAAGACTTTGAGAACTGATTTAAGGGTTAAGCACTGCCAAATTCATACTGGGTACTGAATGGTACATGAGGGACAGATTAGAAAGAGACTCCAAACAGAATGGATACGGAACCATAATTCAACGAAGGCCATTGGGAACTTATAGAATTAAATCTAACCAGGTTGACTGCCTCCTAAAATAAAAATACCAGTATTACCTGCAGTAAGATCCAAAGTTTCATAAGGTGGTTGGGCTATGATCCAAAATTACTAAGTATGTAAATAATTAGAAAACTCTCAACTTGCTTCGAAAAGGATGATCAATACATGCCAAGCCTGCACGGGAAGCTGGACGCATCTGACACAAACTTTAAAGGATGTGTTATAAAAATGCAGGAAGAAGGAGTTAGGTACAGTGGTGAATGCCTATAATCCCAACTACTCAGGAAGCTGAGGAGTGAGTTTGAGGCCAATCTGAGGAACTTCGTGAGACCCTGTACAAAAAAAATGCTTCCAGAAAGGAGAAAGCTTTTGCAACAAATAAAAAGACACAAAGTATCAGTAAAAAAATAGGAGGTTTAATGAATAATCAAGTGGAAAATTTTGTACTGAAAAATAAACCAAATTCCAAATTGCTCTTCATGGGATCAATACCAAAATGGAGACGCCAGGGAGAATAGTTAATGAGCTGCAGACAAGCCAAGAGAAACTATCAAATCTGAACAAAGAAAAAAATATATTTAAAACAAACAAAAGACCAAGAAGAATCTTGGTACATGTGGAACAGAGTTAAAAGATCTAATATTTATATCACTGGATTTCTTTCTTTCTTTTTCTTTT